TTATTGCTTAAACAAATGATTTCATAAATGGTGAGAAGGATTTTTTTGACGAGATTATGAATGAGTCATGATTATGGGCAGCTTGTATACTGAGCATTGGGGCAATTTGTGTGGGAATATGTGACGTCCTTGACACGTTCTGTGATGTTGTAAGTTCGTATTTGGAAATACTGTTTGATCTATAGATTGCATGTTATAGGGTTTTAGGAGCAGGGAGAGAATGGAATTTTGGAGTGAATACTGATTGGTGACAAGTTTGAGGAGATTTTCACAAGGCTGATGCAATTTGAATTGAGAGTTGCCATAAAGTTTGAGTAGATCGCAGTTAGAAAAGGGTTTGAGATGTGTTTGAGTTAGACTAGGGTTGGAGTGAGAGAAAGGAATTACAGCTTAGTTGTTGACAAAGGTCTGAACTTAAGATGAATGCGAGAGAGAGTGTGTGATACTTCAAATGTAATAAATAGCATGCTGAATTACTTTTAATTTTGGTAAATAACTTTTTGTTTTTTTATTTTTATACACTTTTGGTCTCTGGAAAGACTATCTATCTGAGAACTTTCATTCAGACAAGGTTTCTGTAGTGGCAGCATTGAACAGAGTGGGGTGGTATCTGTTGAAGACAGAAGGTAAAGAAACAAGGTATCTTGAGGGCATTTATATAGTTCTGATAGTTGGTGTTGCACAAGTGAGACAGGAAAAACTCTCTTGTTGTACAGAGGTCGGTGTTGGAGAAAGCCTTCACTCTTGGTAATTGTAGTGAGCCAGTTTTGGAATTTGGTGGGTTAAAGGGTAGAAGTCCACATTTGGCCACAGTTGGTGGGACTGCCTGAGAGCAATTGTAGCAGTTGGTGACAGCATGGTGGACCATAAGTGGAAAACCCTACAGGTCCATTACCCTTCCTAGTCAAAAGGTGACCAACAGGGATTAATAACTACATTACTAAAAAGTACAGTAATGAAAAGAAAGGTCATAGTATTGAATGCCTCTGATAAATAAAAGTCTCAATACAACCTTACAATGCTTATCTGGTTGGATTATTTTAGAATTTTGAGGAGTTATTGTTATGCAACAACTGATAAACCCTAAAATAAAGCCGGGTGTTTCTTGGGGTGTATCTACACTGTAAAATTAATAAAGTTTGACATCACTTTTTTCCATTATCAAGAGCAATTTGAGAAACTTCAAGTCACTTCTGATGTGAGAGAATTGGCCATCTGCAAGGGCGTTGTCTTACTATCCTATGGGAGGCTTCTCTCATGTCCCTGCATGAGAAGCTGGAGCTGACAGTCAGGAACTCACCCCGCTCCCCAGATTTGAACACACAACCTTTCTGTCGACCAGTTCAAGCTGAACAAGGGTTTAACCCATTGTGCCATCAGGGGCTCCAACATCACATTAACTGCCATGAACCAATGTTGTGGAATAGTTATAGTCTGGTGAGGTACAACTCCTATGATTCCATAACATTGAGTAGTTACAGTGGTGTCAAACTGTCTTGATTCTACAGATACAACCTAATTCTTAATATTGTTTGCTTGACTCCATTCTATTTGGTAAAATACTTCACTCAGTTGGTGAAATACATCACAGTAGCTATTCCTTCATGTCTTGGCTTCCATTCAAAGATAAATGATGCTGTGATGAAGTGTGAATTTTAACCTACAGTTATGTTTAATTATAGATAGCTGTTTAAAAAGGTAAGTATTTAAAATAGCATAACTGGGGGGATGGTAGCCAGCTCAGTTCACTCTGAGCTGGGTTGCCATGGAAAAAGGGGAGGAGCCAACTGCCACTTGGCAGGGCAGGCATTTTAAAACGGTCAGTCTGTAGTCTGAGAACTACAGGAAAGGCTGGTTCTACAGTGTTGAGAATCAGGGAAGCAGACTGTAGTTAGAGAACTACAGGGAAAGGCTGGTTCTACTGTGTTGAGAACCAGGAAGGTTTAGGCTTTTAGCCTGTGTGGTTTAGATAGGTCAAGTTGACTTATTTAGATTAGTAGTTAGTGTATGAGCAAAAAGGGGGAAAGAACCCCAGTAAGTATCTTTACTGCAACAGAAATAACATAGGGAAAGAATAAGCTGGTACCTGAAGTGAACTGTTAAGGAAAGAAACTCAGTTTGAAGAAAAATAAAGTTTAAACCTGTTTAGTGGAAGGAACAGTCCTCTCAAGAGTTGCTTTATGAAATGTTATAAATGTAACCTCTAAAGAAATGTGCCTCTAGGAGTTAAGAAACATTGAAACCATTAAGCTTCTTCTATACTTCAATAAACTTGTTACAGTTTCTTTTAAAGCCAAGTCTCCATTGCAAATACTTTCAAGTCAAGTCGCACTAAACATTAAACAAAGCCCAACCAAATATTATAAGCTATTAGCTGTGCTATCAATTTTATAAATCCATTACAAATAGTAGGAGACCCTGATAAATCAGTGACGACCCTACTGCTTCTTGTATTGTCTTTACAAAGTGGTAACATCTTTAAAAAGTGGTGGTATCTTTACAGATGCAGTCTTCTAGCCCCTGGCGGCATCATGGATTAAACCCTTGTGCTGGCAGGAGTGCTGACCGAAAGGTTGGCGGTTTGAATCTGGGGGTGGGGTGAGCTCCTATCTGTCAGCTCTAGCTTCCCATGCAGAGACATGAGAGAAGCCTCCCACAGGATGGTAAAACATCTGGGCATCCCCTGGGCAATATCCTTGCAGACAGCTAATTCTCACACCAGAAGTGACTTGCAGTTTCTCAAGTCGCTCCTGACACGAAAAAACAAAACTCTGCAGATAGTGTAGCATTGACTTTACTGATTCTTTTCCCCAGGTAAGTTGACAAGACTGCTGCTTTGAGGACATTTAATGTCGTATTTCGTGTTATTTGTGAGCCAGTAAAGCCCGAAGACCACAAACTGGGGACCCAATAAGACAAGACGTTGTATGGAATGCAGGTTATATAACATGCAGAAATTACAATGTGTGTTCCATGTCTAGTTAGGCTCAGAGGCGGTCCTAGGTAATTTTCAACTGTAAGCAAACAGTATTTTGGCGCCCCCCCCCCCAAAACCAATAATTGATATATATTTTCTGTTTGTTGTGGGAGTTCTGTGTGTCATATTTGGTTCAGTTCCATCATTGGTAGAGTTCAGAATGCTCTTTGATTGTAGGTGAACTATACATCCCAGTAACTACAACTCGCATATGTCAAGGTCTATTTTCCCCCAAGAGCGCCTCAAGAGCGCCCCTGGGTAAATCAACTATACTGCAGATGCTTACTTTGCGTAATGGGTTGAGCCGCCCCTGGTTAGGCTTTAACCTGTGCAGGGTTGGCCTGCATTTCTATTGTAGAGAAGATAGAAGTCAGAATGAATGGAAACAACTTGGCTTTCTTTTGGCACTGGAGTATGGAGTCCTGTGTCCTTCTGCACACAATACAAAGCCCTGAAGGAGGTGCAGCATGGCTGCAAATGTCCAACAGTATGCAAGATCTCTCTCTCTCTCTGTATTGTTGAAGGCTTTCATGGCCAGAGTAACTGGGTTGCTGTAGGTTTTTCGGGCTGTATGGCCATGTTTTATGCTATTTTAATTTTTTATTGTTTTTGTTTTTAATTGTATGTTGCCTTGGGCTTGGCCCCATGTAAGCCGCCCTGAGTCCCTTTGGGGAGATGGAGGCAGGGTAGAAAAATATACTTCCTTCTCCTCCTCCTCCTTCTTCTTCATGTTCCAAAAACATTTTCCCCTGACATTTTGCTAACATCTATGGCAGGCAACCTCTGTTATAATTTTAAAGCTTTTTAATACTGGTAATAATATTATTTAATATTATTTGAGAAAACAAAAATGCTGGACCACTCTAACAACTACCATGTCAGGCTACACAGAGAAGCCATTGAAAACCATGTGAACAATTTCAACAGAAAGGAAGAAACCATGAAAATGAACAAAATCTGGCTACCAGTATTTTAAAAAACCCTCTAAAATCATAACAATAAATAAAGAACAGAACTCAAACATGGAGGAACTCCAGACAAGAAACAATCAGGGACAGCTAATCACCTCTCAACAAAGGATTCCCCCGGGCAGGTCATCAAATGCTAATCAAGGTGACCAATTGAAACATTCGCACCTAGCTCCAACAGACAAGAATTCTTTCTCCCACCCTGGACATTCCACAGATATATAAACCCAATTTTCCTAGTTTCCAACAGACCTCACAACCTCTGAGGATGCCTGCCATAGATGCAAGCGAAACGTCAGGAAAGAATGCTCCCCCCCTCCCCCTTCCCCTCTCTCTTGCTTGTTTCATTTCTGGCACAGACTGTTCCTCTTGCCTCCCTGCTGCAGTGGACATCCCAGATGGCAGTGGCTTGATGTCACCGCCTGGGTCTGCTTTCCTCATCTGCAAGCCTCTGAATAGCCTCGCGATGCCATGGCGCATCCCTGGGTGCCTTCTTTGAGCTGTATCCCTATCTGCCTCACTTCCCATTGGAAGCGGGGAAAGCGGGGGAGATGTTTCTTTCGACACCTCTTCCGCGCCCTTATTCCTGGAGGGGAGTCTCCTCTGAGAAATCCCAGGGCGAGGGGCTTCTCTGGCGCGTCTGCGCATGCGCCACGGGAGCTGAGGCGGAGCCGAGCCCACCTGCAGTAATGTGTCACCGCGAATAGGAAATTGCTGGGCGCGCCGGTGGCTTCTCCTTGCCACCTCTCAAGGTGGGGCTGAAGGGAGGGGGGGCACCTCGAAATATGAATACTAATCCACCCTAATTGGTCATATCAGTATTGCCGGCCTCCTCCTCTGAACTCGGGGGTCTTCTCAGCTCTGAGGCGCTCGCGCTACTCAGACCCAGTCACGTCTCCCCCCCTCCGCTGGTTGCCAGGCACCAGAGTGACATCACTCTTGTCCAATCAGTGCTCGGCTTGCTTTCCCCTCTCTCCGCCGTCCTCCTCGAGCCCCCCAATCGGCTGGCAAATCACAGAGTCCCCCAGGGCAAAGGCGGGCGGTTGGTTGCCAAGGAGGAGGAGGAGGAGGAGGAGGAGGAGAGGGATGCGAGAGGGTGAGTGGGTGGGCTCGCGCTTCCCAGGTGCTGAGGCGGGAAGCCTTCTCGCCACTCGCCGGTCCAGCCTTTGAGCCTCCAGCGCAGCATCCCCTCACACCAGGTAAGCCTCACCCTTTTCCTCCCCCCCCCTTTCTGGGTGGCTTTCCTCCACTGCGGCGAAAGGCAAGCCCACCTTTCGGGGTTTGCGGGAGGCTGGGGGTTGCCCTCGCCAGCTCTGACCTCCTGGGGAAGGGCGTGCCTCCGAAAAAGAGGGGCGCCCTAGCAAGTGGTGGTGCCTCCTCACTTTCGGGGTCCAAAGCCGAGAAGAAGCTGTCATTCAAGGGGCCCAACTTTGAGACTGAAGTCTCCCCAAAGAAGCTGCTTTTTTTCGCCAAGGGCAGCAGCAAGCGATGACGCGGGAGGAAAAAAAGGATGCAGCAAATGTGGGTCAGGGATGACACCGCGTCGCCTCACGCAGCGCCTTCCAGAGGCCCCCCCCCCTGCATTCCGCGCCTGAATCGCCCCCCAAGCCCAAGGCTTCCCCTTCCTTTTGGAGCTTCCCCAATTCCAAGGCGCATTGCTTCCCCAGCCCCGTCGGGTTGCGTAACGCCTTGGGTGCGCTCGCGGAGGCTGGGCTCAAACCAGGCAATGCAGCTGGCATGACAGGCAGATGCACTTGGCCCTCTGTACCCACGGGCGCTGCACCCAGGGATCCCTTCATCCACATCTGGAATATACAGTAGGCTCTCGGGGCCCTTCCACACAGCCCTGCAACCCACAATATCAAGGCAGAAAATCCCACAATATGAGCTTTGAACTGGGTTATCTGTGGACCCTTCCACACAGCCCTATATCCCATAATATCAAGGCAGAAAATATCACAATATCTGCTTTGAACTGGGTTGTTTGAGGACCCTTCCACATACCCCTAAATCCCACAATATCTACTTTGAACTGGGTTGTCTGAGGGCCCTTCCACACAGCCCTAAAGCCCAGAATATCAAGGCAGAAAATCCCACAATATCTGTTTTGAACTGGGTTGCCTGAGGACCCTTCCACACAGCCCTAAATCCCACAATATCTACTTTGAACTGGGTTATCTGTGGACCCTTCCACACAGCCCTAAATCCCAGAATGTTAAGGCAGAATGTCTCACAATATCTGCTTTGAACTGGGTTGCCTGAGGACCCTTCCACATAGCCCTAAATCCCACAATATCTACTTTGAACTGGGTTATCTGTGGACCCTTCCACACAGCCCTAAATCCCAGAATGTTAAGACAGAATGTCTCACAATATCTGCTTTGAACTGGGTTGTCTGAGGACCCTTCCACATAGCCCTAAATCCCAGAATATCAAGGTAGAAAATCCCACAATATCTGAGTGTGGACTCCAATAACCCAGTTCAAAGCAGATGTTGCAGGATTTTGTGCCTTGATATTCTGGGATTTAGGGCTATTTTATTCAGCTGTGTGGAAGGGGCCTCAGTTAAAACCCGGATAAATGTCGTTTTAGTTGCTTGGGAGATTGCTGTTACATAACAGACCCACCTAATCATAGAATCCTAGAGTTGGAAGAGACTCCTATTGCCGTTCAACCTCCTGCCATGCAGGAACACACAATCAAAGCAGTCCTTACAGATGGCCATCCAGCCTCTGTGTAAAAGCCTCCAGAGAACCAGGCTCCAAGGCAGACTATTTCACTGCAGAACAGCGCTTACTATCAGGAAGTAATGTTTAGGTGGGATCTCTTTTCCTACCATTTGAATCCATTGCTCCATGTCCTAGGCCCCTTCCACACAGCTGAATAAAATCCCCAATTTTCTGTTTTGAACTAGGATTATATGGCAGTGTGGACTCAGATAACCTAGTTCAAAGCAGATATTGTGGGATTTTCTGCCTTGATATTCTATCTATCTATCTATCTATCTATCTATCTATCTATCTATCTATCTATCTATCTATCTTAATATGCCAGGATCTGATTCCAGGTTTTTACATTAAACTTGATTATATGAGTCCTCATTGCCAGATAATTTGGGATAAATGGAAAACCTAATCCCAGGTTTTCCATCTTTCCCAGATTATCTGGCAGTGGGGACTCATATAATCCAGTTTAAAGTGAAAACCTGGGATCAGATCCTGGGATATAGGATCTGTCTGGAAGGGGCCTAAGAGCCCTTCCACACAGCTGTATAAAATCCTGGATTTTCTGATTTGAACTGGGATTATATGGTAGTGTGGACTCAGATATTGTGAGGTTTCTGCCTTGATATTCTGGGTTATAATGACTATGTGGAAGAGTCCTAAAACAGCAGAAAACAAGTTCCTTGATGTGACGCCCTTTCCAATATTTAAACATAGCTCTTATTTCCCCTCTCAGCCTTCTTTTCTCCAAGCCGAACAGACTCAGTTGCCTCAGCCTTTCCTCATAGGGCTGGGCTCCCAAACCTTGGATTGTTTTGGTCTCTGGACACATTCTAGTTTGTCCATATCCTTTTTGAATTGCAGTGCCCAGAACTGGAGACAGTATTCCAGGGAAGGTCTGACCAAAACAGAAAAGAGTGGGACTGTGACTTCCCTCGATCTACTATACCGCATACTATGCCCTACCATAAACTCTGTACTGACTTGATATCAATATTTAAATACAGGAATTGAAAACACATGAAGATGAATAAATGCAAACCTAAGTTAATATAACCCAGTTTTATTGCATTATATTTTAATTTGTATTTAAAGTATTATTTTATTGCATTTATTTTGCCGATTATTGAGTATTCCAAAAATATGTTCTGAAAAGCAAGCCTTGCTTTTGTCATTTTATATAAGGGACTCCATTTTATCATGCCATTGTATAGAATGGGACCTAAGCATCCATTATTTTGGTATCCACAGAAATCCAGGAACCAAATCCCAGCAGATACTGAAAGTCCAATGTTTCTTTAGAAAATGACAACAATGTCTCTCAAGCCATGTCTCAGCTGCACTGGAGCTCAGGAGGATTGTGTGGTTTTGCTGCAGACAAGGGGCAGCAAGCAGACAGAACAGGATTTTTTGCAGACTTGACTTTGCACATACACACAGAGATGACATGTTCAGTGGGATAACAGGCTTTCACAAGCAGCTGCCAATTTATGCATTGCCTGAATGTATGGGAGTGTTCACTGTAGAGAAGACTCAGCATGATGTTGGCTTTAGAGTAGTGTGTGGCATTTCACATCTGTAGAGAAATTATCCAGTGTGAAGCAGTTACTAGGTTCATTGGTCGAACCCTGTGCAAGGGATTACTGATTTCTGTTAGAGATTGAAAGGATGATTCTTATAGGAACTGTATTATTCTATCTGTTACTGCATATTGTGAAGACAGCTTGAAAGAGCAGTGGATAAGGATATGTCTACACTGTAGAATTAATGTAGTCTGATACCACTTTAACTGCTAAGGCTCAATGCAATGGAATTATGGGATTTTTTGTTTAACAAGGTCAAAGCCTTTTCTCCCAAAGAGTGCAGGTGTCTCAATGAACTACAACTCCCTTGCTTCCATAGCATTGAGCTATGTCAGTGAAAGTGAGGTCAAGCTGCATTGTGTGCACCTTAGGACCTAGGTCCAATATTGTAATTGTATATGTGTCTTCAAGTCACTTGTTAAATTATTGTGACCCCACTCATTTCTTTAGCAAGAGATACCCTGGAAGGTGGCATTTAACTTTTCTCAAATTTCAGCAGTTTTCAGGAGGAAATGGAAGCTTAAATAAAAGCAGACTGAACTTTCTCAGAGTTCTTGGGTGGAAAAAGGCTGAACTATGTTTATTAAGTAGGATATTTTGTATCATATATATGGTGTTGATATATATTTGTTGTTGTTTTGTGCCTTCAAGTTGTTTCCAATTTATGGTGACCCTAAAGTGAACCTATCATGGGATTTTCTAGGTGAAATTAGTTAACAAGGCTTGGCCTTCGTCTTCCTCCGATGCTGAGAGAATGTGACTTGCCTAAAGTAATCCAGGACTCCCAGGGCTGAATGCGGATTTGAACCCTTATCTCCAACATCATTGTCTGACACTCAAACCCCTGCACAATGCTAGCTCTCATTAATATACATAAAATCTATTCAGGACTGCATTATATATAGAGGGGGGGGGGAAGTATATGTATAATGCAGGCATGAATATCTTTTGTAGTAGTTCATACATCAATTATCAATCTGCTGTAGCAGTTTGAAGTGATTTTGGGTAACAACTGGTTGCATTGCATTGCAGAAGGCACCTAGATTTTGTCTACAAATGTATATATTTATAGAGTAATTTGAAAACTGAAATTTGTTTTCTTGATAACCCTATATGAATTGCATTTTTTTTAAAAAAATGTTATATATGTTTCAGATCATGTTTGTTATAGTCAAATCTTCTGGTGGGGACAGAAAAAATATTCCCCCGATCTCTCACTTATGAGTTCTATCTAGCACTTAGTTATACTTAGGAAATAAAAAGAAAGGATGAAGAAATGCGTTTATTGGACTGTGATCGAAGTTATTGCTTTCAGTATTCTCATTCATGACTACTCAAAAATAAAATGGAAAATAAATATAGAATTTTATAATTTAATAAAAATGATATGTTAAATTGTTTAAGACCATAAAAACAATTAGAGTGCAAAATTATAGATAATTGTCGTGCATAGTAGGGCTGTGTACGGATCCATTTTTAAAAGCAGGCTTTGGCTCTTTTGGCTTTTTTGTCCAGTTGTAACAGCACGAGTGCTGCCACCATCTTTGTTTTGGCCACAGCAGATCAAGTCAGCATGTCCTGCTGGGGAGTAATGGAATTGTAGCCCAACTCACCTGGAGAGAAGCAGGTTGGGGGAAGGCTGATTTCAAACACAATTATATGATCTTTTATACACATTTTTCAACCACTCTCGCTCAACACCCTGGTCACTTCTGGTAATAAGACTTTGAGACACTGGCATTCTTGATTAAAATATTGATTAAAATATATTTGGATAATATTTTACATGGACTAGGGATTGATAGGTTTCTTTCTGTCATTATGCCTGTTTGACATAGTTTTTTTTTACCAGCAGACTTATCCTATCACATTGATATTTTGCTGTCAGAGTGA